AGCCTATATTTTGTTCTATTTGTGTTATTTAAGTTATTTATAATAAGTGAAGTGAAGTTTACCGTTAAGTGCACTGATGTCAGACTCATTTTGAATAATAAAGTTTATTTGTTAAATTGTTAAATACCCTGCCTCCACTACATAGGCCTTATGTTTGTCACATCATTATAAGTGTTTGATCACCACATTTGAGACAGATTCAGTGAAGTTAGAGACTAGAGCTGATCTGAGCATCACGGCACACGTCTGCAGCGCATTAAAGCCTGTGTTACGGGTTCACAGGAGCTGATCGCGGCCATTCAGTCAATGCTGGTGTTCATACCGGCCGCGCTGCGGCCCAGAACTCATGCTTATCACATCGGTCACATCACATCGCGCGGATCACCACATTTGAGTTATCATTGAAAAAAATGTGTTTATGTATATATATTCTGTTTATGTAGGCTGTATACTGTATTCTATATACAGTATCAGTCAAAAGTTTGGACACACGAATGGGAAGGGGGTCCAAACTTTTGACTATGCTGTACTATAATATAGCCTACACATAAAGAATATCAGCCGATATATATCTGTATTTGTCTTTTTTACCCCCTAATATCGGTATCGGCCCCCAAAAAACCCATATCGGTCGGGCTCTAGATTAGATGTTGTGCAGTCCCAAATTGTGGAAAAACAGTCATTGCCTTCCTTGTGATCCCTTTATAATCTGATTCTGTCTACACTAGACACAGTGCAATGTGGCAAATTCCAGACAGCAAACTAGTGCCTTTACTGGCTCAACCAATGTTTGGGGCAGGACAACTCTCATTTTGAAGGGTTATTTACTGTTAGTTTAGAAAACCTAGTGGTGGAGAGTTCACACAAATCACCTGTAAGTGATTTACCCATTCTGTAAGATTTAGCCATTGATTTCATCCACCCATATCCCTTTAACCACACACCTTCTCTCCAACACTCTACCAAACAAAAACGTATACAAAGACATATCCAAAATCCCTAAATAAACTATGAATGTCATGCATATACTCATATTTACTTATAGCGCCAAGCTATACAGGCTTGCAATAATCTGTCTTTTGTTTCTTAATTGCTTTGGCAACAATTAACATATAAGGGGTGGAATCTGGCCATGATCAACAAGTCATAGGACGTAAGAGGGTCCAGGGCAATGATGTAAGTCTACAAACTGGTTAAATTTCAGATGCTGATGACAGTACAATGGCATGGACAGACAGCTTTGCGACTGCTCTTACCATGTGTCAGGTTGCACATATAAAAAGATATGGATCACATGATCAGACTACAGCTACTGAAACATTTCAAACATTCACAAGCATAAGGTGCCGGTGTAAGGTAATCTCTTCTATGCCAAGTCACTCAATAGGGCTTATCCTTTGGAGTCACAGAGCTGTCACTGAGGTTGACAATAACATGTAAATGCCACAACAACAAAGGACTCTTCTCGAAGTCCTCTAGGCACAAAGCTGAGGTATGGTTAAATGATAAGCTCCTGTTGTACTAGACAGATTGAAATGTACACGGTTGACTCATGTGATCTCAAAAGACAAACAGGGGCAATCAGAGGTAAATTGTTACAAATAATAATAATAAATAGTGACTGGCTTTGAAGATCACAGCCTCTCAAATGTGATCAAAATGGTTTTGGGTCAATAAGCTGATCAATGTTAAATCAAGTCCAACAATAGAGTTTTCACAAAGGCTGACAAGACTCCTTTGCTTCCTCAGAAATTCCTGTATCAGTTTTGAAAAAGCTTGAGGATATCAGGCAACCAGAAGGATCTGGTGTAACCCTTGAATGTGAGCTCTCACGGCACAACGTGGACATAAAGTGGACAAAGGTAAAATTACATGACACCCTCAAAAACCCTCTTGTTGCAGTACATTAAAAACCGCTCATGTAAAAGTTCCAAGCCAGTGCTAATAATTATGTGGGGGGAAAAATCTACAAATAAAGATGTCTTCTACTTTCAGAATGATGTTCAGCTTCAACCAGGAAAAAATCATCGTATTTACTCCATGGGAAGAAAGTGCTTTCTACAGATACTGAAGTGTGAGCTGGGAGACTCTGGTTTATATATGTGTGATGCTGGGGATGCCACAACATCCTGTACAGTGGATATCTATGGTAACAAAAGAAAGTCTGTTAGATTATCACCACATTTATCTGCAGATTATATACAGTATCTTCCTGGTAGTACTGATTATTTAAAACCAAATCTTAAATAGATGAAAAATGGGAAGCATTTACCCTTGCTTAGTTTTAAATGAGTACATTATAAAATTATGCAATGCCTTTTTATGTTTATTAACATTTCAACAGAAAAGAAGCTTGAGATACTACAAAGCTTAGAGGATCTGGATATTCAAGAAGGTCAGAATGCAGTGTTCATGTGTGAAGTGTCCCTAGATGATGTGCCCGGAGAGTGGTTTAAGAATGGCGAGAAGATAAAACCAACCAGCACCATTAAGATCCGTCAGGAAGGTTATTCTAGCACCTGTTGCTAAACTTTGCCCTCTTCCAAAAACTGACCAGAGAATATGTAAATCAGTATCTGATCGTGAATTTTCTGTATCATGTTTTCCTACTTAGGGACAAAGCACTTCCTCCTCATATGCAATGTTAAAGAAGACGATTCTGGAGAGATCAAGTTTGTTGCCAAGAATCTTGAGACTACAGCTTGCCTTGAGGTGGAAGGTCTGTATTTAGTTTAAGTCAAGCATTCATTACAAATCAAAATCTTGTCACCCCCTTTGATGACAAGTCACAGATGCCATGACATTTCAAACTGTCCCGACAACTGGGAAAGCAGCAATGACCAATGGTCAAAAATAGAAAAAAAAAGCATCTGTATTCTTTACCATTCTGTACAAATTATTTAATTGTCGAGAATGAACTTAAAACTACAACTTTTCATCTCCATAGCACTACCAGCAAACATTGTGAAACCACTTCAGGATAAAACTGCTCTGGAAAAAACCCGTGTCATACTGGACTGCACTGTGACCAATCCCCGTTGTAGCATTCGCTGGTATAAGGGCCCAAATGTCATCCTGCCCTCAGAACGCTTTGAGATCTGCAGTGAAGGGTGTTACCGAAAACTTGTGATTCAGCAGGTGTTGCTAGAGGATGAGGGCACCTACAGTGTTCAAGTTGGAAACTACACATCTTCAGCAAAACTAACTCTCGAAGGTAAGGCAAATTCAGTCCTTTCAAACCAATTATAGCATTATAAGTTATAAATAATAATTTAGAACAGCTGGGTGTGAACTGGATTGATTGACAGCACTATAATGTTCAAAAAACCCAGTAATTCCTTGAGCTGTCAGTCATACAGTGGTTCATTTAGATTTAATAATATCAAAGCATTCTCATATATCTAGAACAGTGGTTCTCAATTCCAGTCCTGGGGTACCACTGCTCTGGGCTGCGTTTCCCGAAAGCTTCATAAGCCTAAGAAGTTCGTAAAAACGATCGTACGACTGATCTTAATATTACTGTCTGTCTCCCAAAAGAATCGTAACTTAAATAGCACTTGAAAATCATCGTAGATCTACGAGTGCTCTGGAGTAATCGTAAAGCCCTAAGTGCATCGTAAGACAGATTTATGCGGTCACCTGCAGGACAATTGGCAGATTGCACCTTTAACTTTATTCAAGTGCAATGTGATTATAATATAAAGTTTTGATTGTTCTTTATTGTACCCTTTATTACTAGTTTTTTTTTTTTTTTTTTTTTTATGAATTTATAAATGAAATAATTAAAAAGGGCAGAAAAAATAGAAATACACATCTAAATTAAATGACTGAACAAAAAAATGAATAAAAGAAGTCATGTAGATAATATAATATAATATAATATAATATAATAGTTATTATATCCAAGTTGTCTGGAACGCAGCATTAGGTTAACATTTCAAAAAACGAGAGTGTACTACAATTACGAGCCATTCTATAAGGTGACATTTCAGCACTTGACAAACAGATAGTGACTCCTGTGTAGCACTTAAAGCATGGCTACGTGCGATTGCGTTAAGTGCATTTTTCAGTAGCCCCTCACTGCAGAGCAAAGATCCAGGGGGCGGGGTTGGATCCACATCTAGGGGATGGAGATGGTAGGTTTAGGGGTGGAGATGGGTGGGTTTAGGGATCAGAGGGTGGAGACGTGTAGGTTTAGGTACATGTAAGGTGGGAAGAGTTGGATCTGGATCCAACCTCGCCCCCTGGATCTTGTGTTCTGTAGTGAGGACCATCTCGCATTTTTGGGAAACGCACGTGAAACAATAACGAACGATCGTAAAATGACTTGTAGAAAACGCTCTTAAGCTCTAAGATCAAACGCCCTGGGCTGCGTTTCTGAAAAGCATCGTAATTGCCATTGGTGGCAATGGTCTACGATCTACTTATGGTGTGTTTCCACTGGCATGTAGCGAGCGAAGCAGAGCGTGCGTTTTCAATTCATTCCTATGGAAGTTGAGCTTAAACGCTCACGCGGTGTATTATGGGATTGAAAGTGGCGCAGAGAAAGTGTTGAGAGCGGCCAAGAGCATCAAAAAGTTTGGGCATTCCTCGACTTTATGCAAATATCGAGCGAAAAATGCCGGGCGACATCCAATCACTGTGCAAAGAAGTAGATGAAACGTAGTCTCGCGTAGCCAGACCTTCAGACTGACGGCTGAACCGCCCATCAGGCCGTTTGACCGACATGTTAAACAACTAATAACAGTTCGTTTAGTTTCAGTGTCACGTTTCGGGGCATGGAAATGTCGCCACAATAACAGACCGGTGTTTAAAACTCTCGGACGTATTTTAAAAACCTGTGCCGCGAACTTTAAATATTTCACATACCTTTGAAAATGATAAGCGCTCGTTGTCACAGTTGTAAACACGACGGCTTTCTTCTTTCGTGAGGGGGCTTGGCGTCACCACATCTTTGTTTCCAGGAGGAACCTTATAGAATGCGACACACACGTCTCCCGGAAATCCTGTATAATTCAACCAATCCGATGACGACTTTGAAACTCCTGAAGTGTTTCCATTTTTGTGTGCCATATGCATCAGACGTTTAGCCAACGTTCCATGGGCGTGACGTCTGAGGCTGAGACTAGATTAAATGTAAACAGGGTGTAAACATTGTTTTCAGAGGTGTGCTCTTGCCGTAATTGAACACGCCCCGAAAGCAGTGGCGTTGTAGCGTTGCCAGCGGCACTGAGCGCAGATTTGACGCTGTAGTGGAAACGCACCGTTAGGCTCACGATGCTTTTGGGAAACGCAGCCCTGCACATTTTCTGACGCCCTCGGTTCAGTTCATGGATCTCCCTCCTAACGAGCTGATGATCTGAATCAGGTGCGTTAAATAAGGAAGACATACGAAATGTGCAGAGCAGTGGCACGCCAGAACTGTAATTGAGAACCGCTGATCTCGAAGAAAATTTCAGGACAATAAAAGTCTTTCCGGATGTTGAAACAGCTTCAATCAATCACTTCCCTTTTAGGTGGGAAAAGAAAGAAGAAAAACGAAAGAAACTAGTTTCTTGGCATGAACGCTTCTCACACAACGCATAATCTCGTGATCGTCTAATTTTTACTTTAGATGAATTAATCTCTGGACTGATTTGTGCGTCCAATTTACCCTCAGCCAGCTGGCACTCAAATGTAAGGGGCCAAAAATGATTAACCGGCAGATGGAGATGTCTCCCTTTTACACGTACAGTAGGTTATGCTTACTAGTGCACTTAAGTGCACATATAGCCTAAATATATGCCTGTTCATAAAATGGTCAAAATAAAATATTATTGATGGTTCCAATCTGTTTTAAGGTTTTCCTGTGTCATGTCAGTAGAATGGCTACTTGCAAGTTAGTTACTCATACTTTTGCATAAGTTTTTCAAATATTAATAGTATTTCCATTTAAAACCTACTTCATTGTTTGTTTTTTAAATAAATAATAAAACAGTAGGGCCAATTTTACTTCAGAAATTAAAAATATGTTGATCATAGAGAATCATTCAAGTATAAATATAATGAGAACATATTGCATTTACATAACTGGAAATTTAATGTGACAACATGTATTGGCACTTGTTCTCTGTTGTAACAGCTCAGTCAGTCCTGATGGTGCGAGAAATGCAGGATGTGGATGTAACAGCTCCTGCAGATGCATGCTTTGAATGTGAAGTCTCTTTGCCTGTGGCCAAGGCACCTACCTGGACCCTGAATGGGGAGACGCTGCATCCTGGTCCTAAAGTTGTGGTAGAGAAAATGGGAACCGTTCATAGGCTCACTCTCAAACAAACATCTGAAGACATGAGCGGCACCGTGTGCTTTATCACTGGGAGAGCCAAAAGCACTGCACATCTGCAGGTCATAGGTATGCCTATATATTGTTATAGATATAATGCATGTTTATATATTGCCAAGTAAAAGTTTGTGTTTATATATTGTATATACTGTATATCATTACACTTTACTCTGATAGGAGACATTTCTAATGCCTATTCTTAGACATGGAGTCTAGACTTGTTTTAATAAGAACTTGATACACACTAATAGCATAGTCCATGTGATTTACAGTGGCATCCAGCTGAGGGTAAGGGTTTATCAAGTGACTGCTGACTTAGTAATCTTTTTCTTTTTTTGCAGGTAACCACTGAGAAACAACACATAAGCACTTACAGTGCATAATACTCAACAACGCCACTATTTAAATACAAAAACACCAAATTAAATTATGAAACTATTAACTCTTTTAATGTGTCTGAAAGTGAGAGATCTATCATTAATTTATTTGAAATCAAAATTTTAAATCTTTAGTGTCTTGTTTTACACATTATATCCCACATTACATGGTTTACCATCCATCACATAATAATTGTTTAGTTTTTCTAAATTTATGATCAAACACATTGTGCTTTATAAAAAATACACAAAATGAACAACACCAGGCCAGATATGTAATTAACCCATGTCGTTATGACTTAATTTTCTTGCACAGTAATTTGGTATTTAATTTTTGAAATTTATGTACTACTGTATATCCTTGTATAGATATCCTTTGTGTTATTTTTTTAATTCTTGTTTTGTGGGTTGCAGATTAAAGTGAGGTTAAGGCATGTAATAAAAATGTGCAGGGCCAAAGATGATCAAAAGAGGGTTTGGGACGGAAAGTGACTATATAACAAATACACTGAGTTCATGAATACAGACATTTTACAAAGTAGGGAAACATTTACAAATAAATGAAAATGGTTTTGAGAGTTTTAGTTGTTTGCTTCTGTTGTAATAAAAGGTATGTCACAATTCATGCCTTTTACTTAAGTATCTGAATAAAGTGCTGCAGTTTTCCCTTGTTTATCAATATCTTTCAATAAAATTTGAAAAGAAATTCTTGTCTTTTTTTTTAGTGAACAGTCAATACAATACTTAGAAAATGTCCCTCTTCAAGTTCAGCACTGCCATCTATTGGTACTGCAATCCAGAAATGAAAGTTACATTCTGTCTTCAAACCTGGATTTCTGACTTTCTTTGGAAACGCAAAATGTACCAGTGCACTCTAGTGTTTAACAGAAAAAAGTATGATAAAAGAGTGATCTTAATGAAGTGGTTTGTAATGGCTTGAGAAGTGTGTGTATTTTAGTGTGAACTATTCCTTTAAGCTTAACAGGTCACAACCAAGTAGTTTTCACTTGCTTTGATTTAATTTGGTAGGCTAACCGTTCCAATAACTTTACGCGACACGACGCCGCCACAGGTGATAAAAGGTCGCTAGACTCTACTGTTAAGCTTGTGGGCGTTCCTAGTGCTGCCGCTTTAATGTTATTGACTTATAACCACCGTCCACTACAGAGGCACGTAGCTATATATGAGAAAATCAGGAGGGGCCCACCAACTACCAATTTTACACTGCTTAGAAAAGTCTTAGTGTATCTCCCAGTGCGTTGTCACGAACTACAAAGACTGAAATTAAGTTTTTATACCTTTTATAAATGATATCGAGTTTTAGACAAGAATGAGAATGAATTGATAGAAAACCAATACAGTACTTCACATCTATACCCACAGATGGTTTACAGAATAATGTGAATTAATACAACAAAGAAAGGATGGCAACTACAATGAATCTTCAGAGTTCAGTGTGTCCCAGTCAATGTTCACATCCCCAAATACAGTCCCATTGGTGATGAGTGGGTGGGGGGGAGAAACCCTACACAAAAAAAAATACAAAAAAAAATAAAAATAGCAAGAAGTCCTTAAAGTGCTCTTCAAGTAATCCCAACAAACAAAGGCCCACAGAGTCAAGTCCTTGTACTCAGGATATATGATAATCCACAAGGCAATACGGCACAAACGATCCACTGAGAAGAGTCTTCTTGATATCCATGAAAGTAGAGCCTTTGCAACTCATGTAGACTAAACACCAGATACAAAGTAATATTTAAAAAGTCAATCTACAAAAAAACAAAAACCTAGCATTAACTAAAAAGCCCACACTTAAAGTTTGCAGATCAAGTAAAAAAAAAAAATCAAGATCAAGCAGATCAAATGCACATGAGAACATGAGGAGAAACAAAACTTACGAGATTGAACAGGATACAGAGTTTCTCAATCAGGACTCCAATGAAATTTTCAGAGATGCTTCCCTCTTCCAAACAAATCTAACCTCTTCTACTCTCCTACCTGGTTAAATTACTTGGGGTTTAAGCTTTCAATCGCCCCCTAGTGGAGAGTAGGAAAAAACTAGTAACAGCTAGCCCTGTTACATACCCCTTCCCTCAGAAAGAGATTTGTCATAGCCATGACAAATCTTAAGAGTTTGCACATGGTATGTTTCGGTGCTATCTGGATCAGAGATAAAAGAAACTGAATAATTAACAGGCCCCAAGTTTTTCTTAATTTTTGCTGGCCCTTTCCATTTGGCAGACAGCTTTGCCATAAAACCTTCGTCAGCTCTAGATAACGGATGCGTCCGTACCCAAACTACATCACCTTCTTGGAAGTGCACTGACCTTTTCTGTATTTGACCGTGAAGTGAAACCCTTGCAGACATATGATCCATCTGATGAGGCGTGATGATGGTTTTGGGTGCTGGAAAGTCCAAGTCAGTGCTGCATGATCAGTTAATACTTCAAACGCCCTTCTAGATATGGCCTCCACTTCTCTACCGCCCATACCACTGCTAAGCACTCCTTCTCTGCTACAGAGTAATACTTTTCAGCCCCTCTCCTGCAGATTCTTGTGTAAGAACTGCTCCCAATCCAATTTCACTGGCATCGGTTTGAACTCGGAATGTTTGGTTGACATCTGGAGACATTAGAACGGGAGCTTGTGTTAAATCTTGTTTGATAAGGTCAAATGCTTGTTGGCACTGATCTGTCCAAGTCCATGTTGAGTTTTTCTTTTTCAATGCATGAAGTGGGGCAGCCTTTTCTGAGAATTTGGGAATGAACCGATGGTACCAACCAGCTAAGCCCAAAAACCTTTGGACATCTTTGAGAGACTGTGGGATGGGAAACGAACTAACTGCTGACACCTTTGCAGGGTCGGTTTTGATCCCTTCACTTGAAACAACATGACCTAGGAACGTGAAAGATTTTTGAATGAAATTACACTTTTTGAGGTTGAGAGTGAGACCTGCTTTGTGGAAACAACTGAAAACCTGCTGAAGATGTTAAAGATGGTCTTCCTTATTCTTGGAGTAGTCCACGACGTCATCGATGTAAACCATGCAACATTTACCTTTCATCTCCCGCAGTACATGTTACATGAGTCTCTGGAAGGATGCTGCTGCATTTTTCAGCCCAAAGGGAAGATGCAGGAATTTGTATAGCCCAGAAGATTTGGTAAAGGCTGTTTTTTTAATGCTATCTGCCTCCATTTCCAGTTGCCAATAGCCACTCCTTAAGTCAAGTGTAGTGAAAACAGTTGCCCCATGTAATAACTCTAAGATGCCCTGTATTTGTGGCATAGGATAAGTATCAAGGTACGTTTTGGTATTCAGCCCAGGGGCGTCAATTTCGTCTAACAGTTGGGGGGGACAATAAACATAAAATTTCTCAAGAGCAATTTTTGAAGGGGCCACAAATAATCCAGCTAAAATTGTACTTGTAAGGATATGTATACACAGAGGAAAGCCTTGCTATTAGTGCAGTAGGGAGACCGTGCCAAATTAGACAACTTCAAGCTGTTGTGGTTACGCCGCGACAGAGGTCGAGTCCGTTGTAGACATTACTATCCGTCACAGTGTTGCCAAGTCCGCGGTTTCCCATGGAATTGGGCTACTTTATCACTGTTGCCGCGGGCTGTTTTTCATGTCCTCGGGTTGAAGCATCCCCAATAACGTGTATTTTAGCCCCCGGAATGCGATTTTTACCGGGGGACCCCCTCGAAGCGCAGTTAGTTTGGGCTAGTTTTGGGCTACTTTTGAGTAGCAATTGGGCGGTTTTTGTTGTGAAAACCTGGCGACCCTTTCCGTCAAGCAGGTAACATTATTATTGCTAACATAGCGACTCATCGAAAATACATTGGCATCATCTGTATTAAAGAGAAAATAATCACTTTATCCGATGTTTAAGTGAATAAAATAGCCTTGAGAGCCTTACTTACTGGAGTTCCACAACTATTGACTTTGTTCTCTCTAACCAGACTTGTCTGTGTGTAGGTGATGTAAAAGAGAAAAGCAGGTATTTGGACCAAAGCACTGTGAGGCAAGGGAGGGGGAGACTCAAAATGTTTCTAAACTTAAAACGCATTTTTGCCCCGTTTGTGTTGTTTTACTACTTACACAATTATTTAAAGTATAAAACATTGTTATTT